AGCCACCCCATAAGTATTAAGGGGTTTTGAAGTGATTTGATATTCGGAATCCTGGGAGTTATTAGAATGTCGAACAAGGTCCATCCCCATTTCTATGGAGGAGCGGATTTGTTCGTTTCTGGTATTTACTAAGTGCTCCATGCACACCACATGTGTAGTGTGTATTAACAAAATTCGTCTAAATATCTCTTGCAAACTTTATCAAAATATTGCAAAATACACGCATTTTCATGGGTATGAAAGGATGTTAGCATTTATGTCTTGATATGGGAGGCTTCTATTTTATGTGCAATAAAAATGCATATAACTCTTGGATTGTGTGCCATTGCGTTTTGGTTTGCTATATCAGGTGCTTGGCAGTTTCCAGCCGATGACAAGTGTTGCTTGATATGCATATGAATGTGCAATACAATATTTTCACTGGTGATTGATCATATTCGCCCATAGTTGCAAGATAAGAATTGAAAAAATATATGTTGGATAGACTATCTAAAGGATTTATTTCTATGCTGTGCAGTAGACCCTGCCCTGGAATTCAAATAACGCTTGCCAAGTCAAGCCTCTAGCAATCGTTGCTTTCTTGCTGTTTACCCTATAAAATCACCTGAAAATGCGCTTTTGGCTGTAAAATATGGGGACCGTAATGCGTTACATTCTCAAAAGCAACCACGTCACGATGTCCATGAAAATCTGCGTCTTCAACTCGTGCAGCTCCATGATGAGAGCGTTGTCTGGGGCAGGCTCGTCCGCAAAGGTCCACGCGTCAGGATTGACCTCCTTGAAGTAGCGCGTCATTCGTTCTTTTCCGCCCCCAGTAGTCAACAGCTCCCCGTAAAGATCAGCATCCCATTCCACATCAAAGCCCTTCTCAGCAAAAGCCTTGTTGAAGGCAACGCGGTGCCCGTCTCGCTCAGTTTCTGCCAGGGTACCATCACAGTCGAGCAGCAAAGCCCCAACTGCACCGTCATCTGCTGCGCCCAGCAGTCCCCAACCATCATTGTCATCGTCCTCCTGCATTGGCAAACGCACCGTACCTTTGTTTAGAAGCTGTCCATAGCGAATCAGACGGCCCTTCTCTTCGTTTGGGTAATGACCCCACTCTGGTGTCCAAACGTCGGTAGAAAATCGGTAGCGGTACTTGGCACCGGGTTTGGCTCGGAACTTGTACTCGTAGAAGCAGCCTGACATTCACAGGGAGCTGAGACTTTGCAGCAAGAAGCCACCAAGGAAAGTCGCCTCCTACAGGTGTGCCAAACTTGTAACAGACGAGCAGCCGCCGTTGGGACCCAGGCTTACTCGAGACCAGTTGCGCCCCCGCATGGCCCTGTAAATTGACACAGCTGCCACGGTTGCCAGGGCAGCGCTTGTCACCCAGCTAGAAACATCAGCACCTGGAGCGAAACTGTCGCATGCTACTGTTAGAAAATAGTAGAAACAAACATCATGAAGGATTCATGACAAATCGTCCTGGCCTGCAAGGCCAGGGCTTGTGGGAGAGCCTTGGCTGTAGATCGACTCGCCCACCACACGCGGCACCTGAGTGGCCTGTGGGAGGACCACGAAAGCCGACATCACCAGAATAGGCTCTAGAGGCCTACACAAGATGCGCTTGGTGAGCCGAGGTGCCTGACAACAACGTGAATCTGGCAAAGTCCAGCATCTTACTTTTGGGATACTTCTGCAGCACTAACAACTGCAGGAGGGAGCCTAGTCCTGGCAACAACATGAAGAACCTCATGCTGGGGGTCCAGCCGCTGCCTGCAGGCTTTCATCAGAACAAAGTTCCTCCAAGTTCCCCAAGAGCTCCAAGGCCTGAGATTCACAGCCATCACAGAATGAGTCTCAACAAAATGCAAGTGCAGGGTGCCTGCGCACAGCTCGTCACTGTCGGCGGCAAGCTAGCCTGTTTCCCAGATGTCTGGATGCATCTAGTGGTGTCGTGTGTTTGGCCAAACGAAGAACCTTCTGGCCCTCTGCGGCAAAGACTGCATCATCATCTGTGCATTCTGCTGCTCTCCTGTCAGAATTTTGGTTCTGCGCCTATTTGCCTGTCCATATTCCACCCATGCAGCAGAATTGCCATCACAAGCAATAGCCCCATGCTGGGGCTACGTCCTGGCAACGTCCAGCCTTCGGAATTGCACACCTTACCACTGAGAGGGGCAGGCACAGAATATTGATGGAGGGTCGGTTGGCCTAATTTCGAGAGTGCAGGCATATTGAGGCTTCAGGTTTCAAAGCCCGAGGCTTCAAGACATCAAGCTTTCGGAGCTTGAGTTTCAAGCCAGGCCATCGATCTCTTATCAGAGCGCTTATTCGGAGTGGCCATGCTATGTTTTTACACATAGTTGAGCCGCTTGCTTGAGTTTCAAGTATTGTGGAGGTCCTTGCATGTCCTTACTAGTCCGCTCTTTTCTGCCCTGCCTGAAGCCTCTATGCGTTGAGGCCGCGCCTGTTAAACGTAAAGGCTTGTGCGGGTCTCACTGCTGAGTCCTGCAACGCTTTACAATATAGGATAGCACCCCAATCCTCCAGAAAGACTCTTGAGGATCATCTGTTTTGGGGGTCCACTGAGATGAGAATCTGTCGAAGTCCTCCACCTCTATATCGCTCGCTTCCGGAACCACTTTGCCTAGCAGCTCGGACCTGACAGGAGCAAACAAGAGCACCTGCGCAAAAGCAGATCCCCCGCACAACAGGCCTGAAGGAGGTGTAGCGGGCGAAGGTCATCCCAACAGCATCGAGCACAAAGCTTTGTGACCGCAAGCCGCCGTCGATGCTCATGTAGGTGGTGACAAGCGCTTTTTGCATAATCTCCTGATGAGTGAGGCGCCGCGGGAACATCAAACTAAGCGAGGCAAAAAGCGCATCTGAACCCAAGCATTTCACCATCTAGAGTCTTTCTTTGCCGGGTCTCCACAGGCTCCACAGGGTCGGGCTGTGGTGGCAGGGTAGGAATGTACGCGTCGCATCCAGGTAGGGGTTTTCCCATGCCTTGGCTGTGGACTTGAGGGCTTAGATGGCATGCACGTGTGCAACAAGCTGACAACGCACGCACCAAGAAGATGAGAGAAGCGCTGCCCCAGTTGAGAACCGGTTCCACCTCCAGGTAGCCGGCACGCACCCAGTTGGACTGCACATCGCACTTCTGGTTGCAGTGGCAAAGCTTGAACTTGCCACATGCCTCGGCGACAGGCAATGCAAACGCAGCATCCATGCATGCATTCATGCATTCATGCATGCTGCCACCAGCTTCAACGCCTTCCTCTCGTGCCCCACTGGATGAGGTTGGCTTGTTGAGGCAGCCCCACGCCCCGATGGAAACTTTTCGAGATCTAAAGTTTTAACTTGACTCGGCCAGGTGAGGAGTGGGCATATCTCAGCTCTTCATTCAGCTATCAATCTTTAGCTTGGCTTCGGGCATGCTATGTTCTTCCGAGCCACACAGAGCTTTCGGAAAGTTGTTAGCTCAGCGTAAGTTGGCTTATGGAGATGGATGCCCTTCCAGGCCCCTTTCCTGCCATCTCTGCTTCCTGCTTGTTCGACCTAGCATCCTAGTTCAGTCTTCGTAAGGTGTTCAGACCCGTTGTGGTCGAGCGTCATTGACTGTGATTCCGCCCCATCGATGCATGAATTCCGTGGCCAGAGAGGGTGGCGTCGTGCAAATCCATCCTGCTCATACTGACAAATGCAACGAAGCCCGCGAGTTGACTTGATGAGACTTGGCCTGCAAGAAGCCCAGCTCCAGCCGGCTGCAAGCACTCTAGACCGGTGAGGTTTGCAGGCAGAGCATCTCTGCCTGAGCAGTGGGATGGGGATGCACATGGCTAACTTCACAGGGGGAGACAGTGCAATCTGACCATCTGACCTGCCCTGTACTCCCGCACGAACCAACACAGGCACCGGCTGCGTGAGTATCTCATCCAACAGAAACCCCAGTCTAGCAGCACTTCTCGTGTTCTTATCTTTAGTTGCTTAGGTTCCACTAAGACACCGCAGACGTCATCTTCTGCAACAATTTTCATCCTGGGTCCTGGGCTTCAGAACGGTCAGACTCTCGAGAACAAGCAGGTGCAGGCACATGCCTTGAGCATGTCCGGGATCTTCAGCTCGCATTCGCTCTCCGGTGAAATCAACTGTGAACATCCGCCCTGCAAAGGCCTGGCCGCTTGATCCGCTTGATACCGCCGGCCCGAAGCTCAGAACTTGCTGGCAAGCTTGCCTTGCGGTCCACAGCCAGCGACACCCCATCCACCTTGTCACTGATCTGAAATGCACCTCCGTTTGCCTCGGAGAAGTCAGACTTTCTCAGTCCCACTTTCCGGCTGCAGCACGAGCAGGCTGTGCTTTTGACTGCTACCAAGGGGCGCGTCCTTGAACACCACTCAGCGTGAAGTAGATGTTCGCACACTTGCAGTGGCAATCCTCTGCGGACGCAGATGCGAGCACCGCAACAACGGCTAAGAGGCTGGCAGGCCTGGCCCTCCCGGATCGCATCCACGCAGCTGACGCCATCCTGCTCTACACGCTGCCAGCACCTGCAAGCCAGGTCTCCACACGGGAAGTGCAGAACTGCGCGTGCCCCAAGACCCTTGAAGGAGGAACAACGTGCTGCTAACGATGTTGGCCTTCTAAGGGCCCCCAGCAAGCCTACTCCACAGATGAAACGGGGAGCCCATGATGAAGATGCTGCTGGTGCTGTTGCTGCTGATGCTGACCGCCTCGCCGGACCCTCTGGGCCAAACCGCACCCGTAAACCGTCATCATACAGAGGGAAATCCTGCCCGTGTTGCTGCTTCAATTGCCGCAAGCCAAGAAACCCTCACAGGGTGGGGGGAAGCTGCAAAATACATATGTGACAATCGACCTGTGTCTCAAGACTCCTGGGGCAGAAGCCGCAAACAAGGATGCTAATGATCTTGGCCCAAGGATCTCAAGCACATGCCCAAAATTGTCACCCAACAGCCTACCCCACGCCGATGATGCTGCTGATGCTGGCCCAAAGCTGCCGAGCTATGCAAGCCAAAATGCACTGCACTGGAAACCGTGGGGGGGTCACGTGAAGGCATGGGTGGAAGGTTGAAAACTTCGACTTCAAACACAAACTTTTTACCCGAAACATGCAGCCCGTTTCAACGCTGGGCGGAAGGCGCGGCATGCTGCCTACGGTTTTGCCGTGAGTCTTGACCGCTTGTTTGCCAATGGTTTTCGTGAGGTATCATGAGTTTTGCCATGCTCTTCATGTTGACACCTTCTGGCTCATGTTCAGACTGTTACAAGCCGGTTTTTTGGACGCAGTAATGTCCAATCTGGGCGGCAACTGCAAAGCAAACCATGCTTCTTGCAAGGAAGCTTGGGCCTAAGCAGTCCTGGCTGGCTTTGAAGGGCGTTTGAGGGGCCCAAGTATGTCGAACTCCAAGCTGATGTGTACGTTTGCCCCAGGCTCCCGGCTGTGCTAAAATCCTGGCTCCGTAGGAAACTGATTGCTAACCATGGCATGACCTCCCAATGCCCTCAAAAAACGTTAGGTTAGGACAGCGCCAGGAGTAGGTCGTTCAGGGCAGGGGCTGAACAGAATGAATGATTCACTCAACTCATCTCACAGCAGTGCGCGAGCATGCAAAATTTCGCCGGCGCCCCCCCCCAACCCTCCACAAAATAAAGCTCATACTTCCTGACATCCAGCTGTCATCCGGCCTTCTAAACCTCTTCCAGACCAACATCAAGTTTCCCTCACAAAAGCTCTTGGTTTTAGTCATCTGCATGCAAAGCAGATGTGACAATGCTCCCACTGTCGTATGCAAGCCTCCGCTGGTTCACATTGGCCACTTCATCCCGATTGCAGCGGTACGGGCATTCCGCAGTTGAACACGAGACTGGACAGAAATCGGAGATGGGCTGCCAGAGGCCTGCAGTCCAGTTATGTCCAGTCCAGGGTCTTGAAAAACTCACTAGCAGAATGCAGCCGCCTGCACATCCAAACTTTGCCACAACCTCACCCAGCTCACCCAGCGCAGATCTGAATCAGAAATGCTACGTTGACCAACTCAAACACAACAGCAGTATTTGCAGAGATATTGCCCAGCTACATCTGGACAGGTTGTGTCCCCGTATCCTGATGTCCTGCCAGCGCGTAGAAACACCAAGGACTCATACAAAACCGCAGAAGCAAGTCAATGTCTGTCCTTAGCATGACATCGTGGTCGACACATGGTCGCAGGCAGGCAAGGCCTTTGTGGAACCAAACGCTTGCACCTAGAACATCTTCAGAACATAGGTGTGGACCTTTTCAGGGCTTCGGTATATGATCATTGCCTGAATTTGCGCCACTTGCACGGTTAGTACAGCGGTGCAAGGTTTCAATCCGGCATTGCAACTCAGGCACGACGAATCACTTCGCATCGGAATCCAGTACAACCCAGACGTCCCTACTATAACCGAACCAGCCCAGATTGCGACAGGAAGTCCACAGAAGACTACGCTTCAACTCTGACCTAAGCTGCCTGGTCATCATCGAACTGACCCCTCTTTCCAAACTGACCCCAAACCAGGCAAACCAAAATACCAAATCATCGCCTGAATGGTGATGATAGGAGGTTCATCCAAGGCTCTGGTTCCGGTGAGGCCTAATGGAACGCCGCAGCCAGTGACCCAGTTGCATGGGAAGTCCTGCTTGCAATTGTTCACCCCTCCGCCATGCAATAACTTCCGACAATCAGAACTGGATCCCCTTCCGACATCTTTGCGAAGTTCTGACATTGTTGTGGTTTGGTTTTTGACCTCCGATGTTTGCAAGCTGAGAGACTTTACAAGCCGCATCTGCAGCTGATTCTAGCTGTCTGTACGGCATCTAAAGCATGTGGAGGCGTCCATCAGCCTAAATACTGCATTCATCAAATACAGTTTTTGCGAAGCTTCATCTACTCCAGAATACACATGGAGAGCTGCCCCTATTGATACTGCATATGGCGTATGGACCCGCTCAAAGCTTCAATTCCCATGAGTCCTGTAAATCACCACACCTGAACTTGTTATAACTTTCAGAGGCCAGGACAGAAACTTCGGGAATAACGCTCAAAATTGACAGGTTGATTCTGCCTGGCAAGGGCACAAGCATGATGTGGCTCAAAGGTGCGGGGGGTGGGTCTGGCAAACGTCAATAGACAGGACAATTTTCACGCAGGTCTTCCGCTGGAAACAACCACAACAAGTTCAGTCAAAATACGGCCAGGATTCGGTCTCAGATTGAGGGGCATCGCTTTTGGGAGGGTCCAATCCCTTTGCTACATCTGAGGGAAGACCTTCTTCTAGTCCCTGATACCCGAGTGTTGACGATTGCTCACACCGACTTCGTGTATGTATCCGGCCCATTTTTCCCTTCCTGCAGCAACTAAAGGCTAGAACTTCCATAAAAAGCCCATGCTGCTTGTCGGGCCGCCCTGGCAAAACTGCTGCTACGGGCAGGCAATTTCTCCTGACCATGCTCTCGTCTGAGCTACGTTTCCTCTCAAAAGGAAGAAACAAATTGTCAAGTGTCACCTCCTGAAGCTAGTATACCGCTTCCCCAGTGCATCTCCATGGTTTGATGTGACATGGAAGGAGTGAACATAGTACTGTTGAGCAGCAACCTCGGAGAAGCTTTCCTGACTACTTGTTGGATGGGATCAAGTCTGCAGTTTGCAAATTTCTGTACAATCGGCCGACTAATAAATGCATTTAATTTATAACAGCAAGTAAGCATGCAGTCAAGGTAGGCCCGGGGCAGCACAAATTCTCACTTTGCCAGCTTGACTATGGCTTGAAAACTGCTTTGCCAAATGACGACAGGAAGGAGGCATGTGCACCTGAGCCTGCTCAACTCCGCGAGTGTTTGTGAGGTGAACCTAGTCATGGCTTCCCTTCATGGTGTGTCTACCTGATAAATCTGCATGGCGGGCAAGTGGGCTGCGTGTCGGTGGGGGATACGACTCTCAAATCCCATTTTGCGCCAGCCGAAACTGTTTGTAGCAAGCATGTCAACTGAAATTCAAGCGGTTGTTCTCTTGTCTGCCGCTGCTCGTTCGGATAGGGTGTCTGGTGGGATATGCCGATACGTCTGCTTTCAGTCCATTGTCATCCTCTTCCTGATAGCTACCGGCTCAAAGAGAAGCCCATGAAGAGCTGTCTTCGCTTCTGTGTCTTTCTGTTGTTTCAAAGCCACCTGAGGCTCTCTCTATTCATACTTTGCGCATGCATTTGTTTGTCAGGTACTGTCTCTGTTGTCGTCGGCCACATCTCCGAGTCTCGGAGCAGGTTCTTCCAAAGTCTTGTTTCCTGGCGCTGGCTGTGGCTGAAGTAGGCTTGTGGCTTAGCTGGTCGTGCTTGATTGTGCTTGCCTGGCTGCTCGCGAGCCTGGCCTTGGTTGGCTGCAGACTGCCTTTGCATTGACGCAGGCTACCACTATGTCACGTGGGGTCATAAAACTTTAAGTTTGGCGGGGCATGCCAGGGACGTTTACCAGGCTTGTCATCCTGACTTCGTCGCGGTGTAGAGTGGGTTCGCTGAGAGTTTGGCAGGCATCACATCGCCTGTGTCTCTTCTGGCTGCTGGGGGGATTTTCATCGCCCTCTTTGTCCTGCCACAGCCCACAAAAGCAGGTCAGGCATGAGGAAATGAAAGATCACCTCATGGCAGAAAACTGTCCAAAGCACGCCTTGGTGCAAAATCATCCAAAACCCGTATCAACATCTTTGCAA